GTCATCATCACCACCAGCAGCATCATCAGCAAGAACAGCATCACTCGAACATCCTCAACATCCTCAGCATCATCACCATCAACATCACAATCCTCAGCAACAGCATCAACGAAAGCATCAGCTTCGACATCACCAACAGCATCAGCATCAGCAGCATCACCATCATCATCGTCATCAGCAACACCATAATATGCAGATATATTATCTCATCGAATGCTTTCGATGACCCGCCCGAACGCACTGTTTGAGGATATCTCGAGCGAAACGTACACTTGAGAACAAAAGTACTGCAACACCACACCATCATGGAGTTTCATTGGGTTCGCTTCTTGGGCCATCTTGGGGGTCCTCCAAAAGCGCTCCCGAAGGATGTCCTGCAACAGTTACCGAGGCATCTCATGTGTTTGAGGATGTGTCAGGCGAGCGCGCCATCGGTTGAAACATTACTATGTGATGATGCCTCGAGCGAGGGCTTCTTGTTTAACATACGGGGTCTTGGAGCAGCTATTTCAGCATCCCACTGTTTCGAGGATGCCTCAGGCGAGCGCCCCATTGCAAAGATCCGAAAATTACGCCAGCGATCCCGATGATGTGAGGATGTCTCTGGCAAGATGCACATGCTTGGCATAAGGCGTCGTGAAGGATAGCCTCCAACATCTCGATTCTGTGAGGATGTCCCCAGCAAAACGCGTGTTTGCCAAACTTTTCTTGACATGAGCGGGAAGCGCGCGAAAGCGAAGAGTTGTGCAAAGCCGGGCAGCAGCATCGCGATCAACTGTAATGTGGGCGAGTTCTCCGCACGTCTACAGGGGGCACTTATGGAAGCGCGCTCCCCGAACGCTCACTCTCTGGTTTTTGGTTATATTCCCCGCTGGTCTGTACTCCTATATTGTCCCCCGTCTCGTCCTTACGCTCATCGTCATAATCAGCATCGTCATCAGCATCACCATCACATCATAACCGACCTCATCATCACCACTATCGCCATCAGTTTCATCGTATGTATCACCACCGTCACCATCAACAACAACTATCCCATCACCTGCATCATCATCGCACCCGTCACCAGCAGCATCACCAGCAAGAGGATAATGACCATAACCATTATCCTCAACACCACAACCATCAGCAACAGCATCAGCGCAAGCACCAGCTTCGGCAACATCAGCGGCTTCAGCAGCACAACCATCATAGTCAGCATCATCATCATCCGCATCAACACCACCATCATCGTCACCGTTTTATTTATCCTCATCATCATCATCATCAGCAGCATCAGCATCACCAGCATCATCGTCATCACCATCGTCATCGTCAACGCTACCGCCGACACCTTCACAGTAATCTGATGTCTTCGAAGACCCGCTCGAACGTATTGTTCGAGAGTGTGTTTAGCTAAATGCTTACGCTACAGCAAGCGCATTGCATCACAACTATTGTTTTTCAGTGATTCTTAGGCTTACGCCACACCGCCGACCCCTTGTTTATGCCAATCTGGGGGTAGTAGATGCTGCGAAGGGGTGAAAAGCGAGTTTTGGAGCCACTTGGGGGCCGTTTCGGAGCCTCTGGGGTGCTTCTTGGGGGTTCCTTGGGGCGTCTGGGCGGCCTCGTGAGGGCCTCTGGGGGCCTCTTGGGGCACTCTTGGGGCCCCCTGGGGCTCCTGGGGGCAGAAAGCTAGAGTTTCAACATGTTTGGTCGCCCTCTTGGGCCCCTGTTGGTGCCGTCTTGGAGCCCTCTTGGGCCGTCTTGGGGACATCTTGGGCCGTGTTGGGGCCGTCTTGGGCCGTCTGGAGGCCGTCTTGGGGGCCTCTTGGGCCATCTTGGGGCTTTCTTGGGGGCCTCTTTGGCCGTCTTGGAGCGTCGGGAAGCCGAAAAGGCGGAAAAGCAAAAAACATAGAAAAACACTATGGAAAATCAACAATTTTAGACTCTTGGGGTCCTCTTGGGAGGCTTGTTTGGGACCTCGGAGGCCGTCTTGGAGACCTCTTGGCCCGTCTTGGGGCCATCGTGGGCGTCTTGGACCGGTCGTTTGGCGTCTCGGAGCCTTCGTGGGCCGTCTTGGAGGCCTCTTGGGGGCTTCTTGGCCCGTCTTGAGGCCCTCTTGGGCTCGGAAAAGCCCCGTGAACCGCTCGTCCCGGACCCCCCCCGCTCGCGCTCGACCCCCCCCCCCCCCTCCAAATCGACCGGACCGGGCTCCCGGGGGAGGGGTTTGGGGAGGGGGAAGCATCTCACACGCCGATGATCCCCAAGGGGTCGGCGGATTTCGTTTCTTGGGCCATCTTTTGGGGGGTCCCCGAAGAGCGCCTCCAAATGATGTCGTACAACATTATTGGGACACCTCAGTTTTTGAGGATGTCTCATACGAGAGGGCCAGGTTCGAAGATCCGAAGGTTTCGCCAGCGATTTGCTCTTCTCCGTTTGTGTGGGGGTGTCTCGAGCGAGAGCTTCCGTTGAACAGGCGATGTCTTAGATAGGCCTCTTCAACATCCCATTTTGTTTGGGTGTGTGTGTGTGTCAGGCGAGAGCCCCATATTCGAAGACCCGAAAACTACGCCAGCGAACTCAACACCCCAATGTTGTGATAAGGTCTTTGACGAAACTTTCTGGTGTATAAAATGTCTTTAATAATCGCCTCCACCATTTCGATTTTGTCAGTATCCTGGATGTCTCTACCGAAACGCTTATTGTTCAAATCCGCCACATCCATTCGAAGGAGGACCCCGCCACGACTCCCCCCGTGGACCCCATCCACTTGATAAACGTTTCCTTTCCAGGCCTGTGACCAACGTCCATCTCGCGATTCTTCGAGTCTAAGCGCGCGTCCCGTCACTCGCGACCTCACGGCCACGGAGCGAACACACCACCACTCCTCCCCAGGACCCCTCCACTCGATAAATCGTTCCCCTCCGGGCCAGTAACCAAAGTTCATCGCGCGACTCTTGAAGTCTAAGCGCGCGTCCCGTCATCCGCCGCGTCTCGGCCACAGAGGAATCCCACCAGCCCTCTTCCCCTGGACCCCTTCCACTTGATAAGTAGTTCCATCCTGGGCCAGTGCACAACGTCCATCGCGCGACCCGGCGAGTCTAGGCGAGCTTCCCGTCATCCGCCACGACGTGATCAGATGAGGCCCTGAACGCTGTTTGTACAAATTAGACACTTTACAGATTCAGCCAGCACGTCCAGCTCGCTTTTCGTTCCTCGAAGATGCTCCCTGTCAGGCGCAAAGTGCAATCCGCCAGTGGAGACCCCCGTGCGATCGGACACGGTGTATCGTTTTCAGATGTTTTGGTATGCTACTCCAGATTTCGTAATAAAAGGGAGGGGGTCTGGACCCTCCAAGACAAGCCATTTCAGACCCCCCCGGGGGAGAACCCTCCAAAACATCGTCCCCAGACCCCCCCGGGCCCTCCAAGATAGCCTGGAAGAGACCCCCCCCGAAATGAGACCCCCCTCCCTTTATTACGAAATCTGGAGTATGCTACAGATCCAGCCACAACGTTCACTTCGTTCCTCGTTTCTCGAGGACGCTTCCCGTCATCCGCTGGCCCTCCGCGAGGCAACGGGGGCACGCCGGAAGCCTTCCTGGAGGTTCCCCCCGAGCCCTCCGGATGCCTCTGAGCGTGGAAGCGCGGAAGGCACGAACTTGCCGAACGCACCAACATTTGCACACATTGTCTCGGGCCGGACGAAAGGGGGGGATTGGGAAAGGGGGGGTTACGAGATTTGCTGCATGCAGCTGGTTTCGGCCCCACAGAGGGGCCCATTCCTCGATACATAGCCGCCTCCAGCGCCGGGAGGCGCCGGGAAAATCAGCTACGTGAGCTGATTCTCAAACCCCCCCTTTGCTATCCCCCCCTTTCGCCCGACCCGATTGTCTTCGCGAGGGGCCCAATCAGATGCAGTTGTGACTGCCACGCCGTGGGTTCCGAGTTCGGTGGGGCTCCGTAATGGGGCCACGCAGCGCGTAGGGAGTAACTAACCAGTTTCGGGCGCGGGAGGCACATGGCCGCGACCACTGGGGCCCTCGGTGGGGGTCCCTATGGGGCCACGAGGCGCTGCACTGGGCCGGGGGGGGGCGCACGCGGCCGCGGCACTCGGGGCCTTCGGTGGAGTTCCCTATGGGGCCACGAAGCGCTGTGGTGGGCGGGGGGGGGGCGCACGCGGCCGCGGCAACGGAGGCCACGAAGCGCTGTAGTGGGTCGGGGAAACGCACGCGTATGGGGCCACGAGACGCTGCATCGGGTGACGCGGACTCATGCGAACGCAAACCAAGGCTAATTCTGCGTCAGGGAAATTCTAGGCTGTACCAAAATGCCCCTTCTCGGGAGGTTAACCATGCGAATCCTTGAAACTGCTGGGAACGGTCAGAACGAATGTGCGCGACGTTGAGGCGATAGCCACACCTTGACATTCTGTATACAGCTGCAAACTTGTAAGTTGAATGCGCGCTGCGTTAACGCGAGTGCCACTGTTTGAAAACGACCCGCCCTCGATTTTTCAAACGGTTGCAAACGTTGCAGACGAAGGTGCGCGGCGCCATGGCGAGAGTCGCATTTTGAAAACGGCCCGCCCCCATCCTTGAAATTGTTCCAAACGTTAAAGACGAATGCGCGCGGCGCTGAGGCGACAACCCCAGGTTGAAATCGACTTGTCTTCCACCGCTCAAGCGGTTACAAATATTTAAGACGGATGTGTGCGCCACAGCAAGAGCCACATGTTGAAAACCGCGCGCCTTCCGTCCGTGAAGATGTTGCACATTTCCAGCCTCAGGATCATAAGTGGCGCAGAAGACTCCAGCGCAGCGCTCCGCCCGCCCTGCCGAAGCGTCTGGTGGTGAATCCGGAGTTACTGATCTAGAAAAGGAATGGAGGACGAGGAGGAGGAGGAGGAGGAGGAGGAGGAGGAGGGAGACGGAGAAGGAAGAACGGAAAAAGAGAAGGAGGAGAAGGAGGCGGAGGAGGTGGAGGACGACGACGGCGACAAGGAGAGAAACCCGAGAGGTCAACCAGCTCAAGGAGCAGCTGCAGGCCTTGGAGAAGGCGCCGAGGGCATTGCGCGGCCAGACCGCAGAGCACAACGAGAGCGATGTGGACAGCCCGCGGACAGCGCACCCGAGAAAATTACTCGCGTCGAGCCAGAAGACCAAAAAACGGCATACCTTCGGATTTGGGCGAGGGGAGAAAATCGTGGCGGCAGGTTTTTCAATGCGTTCCACTTGCGGAGGCCGCTAACTGGCCCCAGGAAGGTCAAAGACTATTCGGGGTGAAAGGAGCCGGCCCAGGCAGTCTTCGAGGGGGTCGAGTTCCCAGGATGGTTTCGAGGGAGTGTTCGAAGGGGCCTCCATCACCAAGAGGTTGCGATGTCGGAAGGGGTGGGCGCAGCCAAAATTTTGGGATAGGACCCGCTCTGGTTTCGGGAGGGGCTTGAGGCGCCTGGGACCCCATCCGCGGGCTTCCCCTCGGGCGCCCCTCGCAGACCGAGGGGCAGCTGGGGCCCACAAGGGGCCTCGCTCTACACGCGAGGCTCCCTGCTTCAATGATCCCCTGGGTGTTCCCAAGTAAGTGTGTGTATGTGTGTATGTTATGTGTTGTATGTTGTGTGTTGTGTTGTGTGTTATGTGAGTGTGCGTGTGCGTATGCGTGTTCGTGTTCGTGTGTGTGTGTGTGCGTCCGTGTGCGTGTGTGTTTGTGTGTGTTGGTGTGTTGGTGTGTGTGTGTGCGTGTGTGTGTGTGTGTTTGCGTGCGTGCGTGCGTGCGTGCGTACGTGCGTGTGTGCGTTTGCGTGTGCATGTGCGTGTGCGTTTGCGTGTGCGTGTGCGTGTGCGTGCGTGTGCGTGTGCGCGTGTGCGTGCGTGCGCGTGTGCGTGTGTGTACTTGTTTGTGTGTGCGTGAATGTGAATATGTCTATGCGTGCGTGCGTGCGTGCGTGTGTGCGTGTGTGCGTGTGTGGGTCTGTGTGTGTGTGTGCGTGTGTGTGCTCGTGTGTGCGAATGTACGTGCGTGTTGTGTGTATGTGTGTATGTATGTGTGTGTGTGGGTGCGTGCGTGCGTGCGTGCGCGCGTGCGTGCGTGCGCGTGTGCGTGTGCGTGTGCGTGCGCGTGTGCGTGTGCGTGTGCGTGTGCGTGTGCGTGTGCGTGTGCGTGTGTGTGTGTGTGTGTCTGTGTGTGCGTGTGTTTGTGTGTGTCTTTGTGTGTTATCCACATTGGCTCCGCCGATAGCACGCAGCCTACGGTGGCTCCCGTTGCACCGCCTGCATCGCATTGAGGGGCTTCGGTGGACGAGCACACGTTGGCGCGAACACGCGTGCTGAGAACCATCGGCCGCTGCATCTGCACCCATCAGATGTATTAGCCAGCGTGGGTCCCAAACAGTGCGTTCCTAGCAATCTTCGTTGTGCAATCTATGTGGTGCGACCCATGCGATGACACAGATGTAAATATACACATGTCTATATACATAGAAATATAGTGTACACTTTACATGGTGCAACATGCGTTGCGCAACCCACGCGGTGCAACCGATGTGGTTTCAATATATATATATATATATAATATATATATATATATATATATATATATATATATATATATATATTGCACAGGCTTGCACAGGCTTTGCGGCGAAGCCCCAGTGGTACAACCCACGTGGTGCAACCTACCATGGTGCAACATACGTGGTGCAATTCACTTGTGGAACTCGCACTTGTCAACTCCACTGCTCGCGCAATCATCCCACCCGCCCACCCGAAACTTGGTTTCCAAAACACACGCGGTGGCGATTGCGATGAGTGCTCGGCGTTGGCTGGTCCATCTCTGCGGCCGCGCCAGCCCGCGCACGCACTTGCGCGCGGCGGCCATCTAGTCTGGCGCGACCGACGCGGCCGCGGCGGCGCTGACCGCCGGGCACATCCCAGCGGGCACTTCAGTGCGAGTCGGCGGCTTGGGCGGGCGCGCTAGCATGGCAACGTCGACAACACTGGGCTCGATGGTGATAGTGGCTATGTTGGTGACGATGTTGGCAACGACGAAGGCGCGGCCAGTGACGGCGCCGACGCTAGTCGCGCCGAAGACGCCGACGGCGCCCTCGCGTCGGCGATGAAGGTTTTTTAGAGGAGTTCGACGCGCGAGAGCGGCCTGCATGGCGCGAGTTGACGCGGGTCGCGCCCCCCCCCCCCCCCCCCCCCGCACGCGCGCGAGGGCGCGTGAATGATTTCGGCATGCGGCGCGGGAGACCCGTTTGGCAGTACTCCAGGAGAACATTAAAACACCTTTGGGTTTCTTGGGCTTTCGCCAGAGCGCGAGCGCAGGGCGTTTGGAAAACGGTCGCTGCGGAGCCACATGTTTAGCACGCGGTTTCGCGACACTCGGTTTTGAAACCCTTGCGAAACCCGAGTTGTTTTAGACGAGTTTCGCCATGCGCGCGCGACGACGCGCCCGCGCATTTCGCCCCACTATGTCGACGGGCTTTCGCGACAGCACGCGCGCAAGGGCGCTCGAGCGATTTCAACGCGCGCGCGCGAAACGCGTTTGGTAGGATTTCATGCACACGTTGAACCACCCATGGTTTTCTGCAGGATTCGCAAGAGCGCGCGCGCAAGCGTTCAGTTCAAAATCTGAGTTGCGACAGCATGTTTTATATGTTTTTGGATGTCGGCATGCGCGCGGTTTCATTTTTTGCATGGGTTTCTTGAACATTGATGATGCGCGATATACGAGTGCGCGCGCATGCGTTCTTTTTTGGCAGAGGAAGGCGGGGAGGCGGCGATGCCGGCCTGGCTGGGGTGGCACGAATTCATATTTAGGATGGGCGATGGGGCAGAATCACACGCACCACGCGAGAAGTGGCGCGGGCAATTCCCAGAGAGGGGGGGGGCGGTGGAGTTTTTCCTTATTGAGAAAGGAGGATATTTGTGGCTCATTCTATGTGGCGCAATTGGTTTTTACCCATGCGTTGACACATCCAACCCTCTTGCAAACATCCCACCCACCCACCCGCAGCTTGGTTTGCACAACCTCTTAAGACCGACTACGACGACACCGACGACAACGACTGCGACGACACCGACGACGTCTCCGACGACGACGAAGACGACGCCGACGACGACGACGAAGACGACGACGACGTCGCCAACGAAGACGACGACGAGGGAGGAGGGAGGACGACGACGGCGACAACGACGACAACGACGACAACGACGAGGGAAGAGGGAGGACGGCGACGACGCGAACGACGAAGAAGGAGGAAGGACGGCGACGCCGACGACGACAACGACGAGGGAGGAGGGATGACGACGACGACGACAACGACGACGACGACGGCGACGAAATAGGAGGGACGACGACGAGACGCCGACGACGGACGACGACGACGACGAGGGAGGAGGAGGAAGGACGACCACGGCGACAACGACGACGGAAACGACCACGACGCCAAAGAGGACGACGACGACGAACACGAGGAAAGACAGAGGACGACGCAGGCGACGACGACGACGACGACGCGGGAGGAGGGAGGACGGCGACGACGACGACGACGACGACGACAACGAGCGCGCGCGCACGCTTTTGTTGAAAATCCGTTTTGCGAAACCTTCTGTTTTTGTAGGTTTTTTGGACACGATTTTGAAATCCTTCCGAAACTGCTGGGTTTGAAGGTTTTCGGCATACGCGCGCGACGGCGCGCGCGTCTGCATGTCGTCCCAGCTTTTGCAGAGGATTCTCGCGACGGCACATTCGCAAGGGCGTTCGACAGATTTCGACCTGCGCGCGCGAAGCCCGTTTGGTAGCATTTTGTGACAATCTTGGAAAAAAACTATGGTTTTCGTAAGAGTTCGCAAGAGCTCACGCGGAAGTTGTTTTGGCAAATCAGCGTTGCGATACCATGCGTGTTTTATATGCTTTTTGGAAACTCGACTGCGAAATCCTTCCGGCAACGAAGGTTTTTGAAGGATTTCGGCATGCGCGCGCGACGGCGCGCGCGTGTGCAATTCGTCCCATGCGTTTCTAAGGGATTTGCGAGATTTATGTCAGCACAAAAGATGTCCTCGTTTATTGTTTTTTAGAAGGGAACCTTAGGGAGGCCGGTCCCGGCCCCTCCGGGATAGTGCAAATTCATATTTAGGATGGACATGTGGTCAGAATCGCATATGATTTACATACCCGAAAAAGGGGGGAAACGCCGGGGGGGAGGGGGGGGAGAGTCTATTTAAGAAAGGAGAATTAATTTGCGTTCGCAATACATGGTCAACTCCACTGCTCGCGCCATCACCCACCCGCCCACCCGAAACTTGTTTTCCGAAACACACGCGGTGGCGATTGCGATGATTGTTCGGGGCTGGCTGGTCCATCTCTGCGGCCGCGCCAACCCGAGCACGCGCGCGCGGCGGCCATCCAGTTTGGCACGACCGACGCGGCCGCGGCACCGCTGACCGCCGGGCGCGCCCCAGCGGGCGCACCAGTGCGCGTCGGTAACTTCGGCGGGCGCGGTACCATGGCAACGTCGGCAACGGTAGACGCGACGATAATAGCAGCGAGGCTGGTGGCGACGTCGACAACGGCGACGGCGCGGCCAGCGCCGATGCGGATCGCGCCGACGACGATGACGGCGCCCCCGCGTCGGCGATGAAGGTCTTGGAAAGAGTTCGACATGCGCGCGCGGTCTACGCGCGAGAGTGGCCCGCGCGGCATCATTGACGCGGGCCCCCCCCCCCAAAGCACGCGCCCAAGGGCGCGCGAATGATTCCGGCTTGCGGCGCCAGAGGCCCGTCTGGCAGAATTCCACGAACAGGTTGAAAAACCAATAGTCTGATGAATCCGCAAGATCGCGAGCGCAGGGCGTTTTTGTCTGAATGTTGTTGCTGCGAAACCATATGATTTAACACGTTTCAGACACGCGGTGCTGACATCCTTACGACGCCGAAGGTGTTTGACGGATGTCGGCGCGCTCTCGCCGCGACGCGCGCGCACACCCCGCCCCGCTTGCTCTGTTTCAGCGGGTCCTTGCGACGGCGCCCGCGCCAGGGCGCTCGAACGATTTCGACGCGCGCGCCAAGCTTATTTGGTAGCATTTCCTGAACATGGCGAAACATGTGCCTTCAGCATTCGCG